GGTACTCTTGTCTCCTTAATTGTTCTTAGTGTTCCTTGTCACCAATCATGATATTCTTTGTGGAAAGTATTAATATACCATCTTCCTGTGTTCAATATTCCCATTAACAACAAAAAGTCTAATGAAAATATCTGCATGAAAAGCCCTGAGCACTAATTTCAGAGGCAAATAAAAGATGAACCAATAAGTGTTTCTTTGAAAATGAATGATGCAAATTAATTGATATCTTAATGAGCTTTCAGCATGAAGATTATTAGTTAGATGGAATCCGAACTGAATATCATCTTTAAGGAAACGCTAAGGACACTGCAGTGGGGAAGAAAGATGTCATCTGTCAGTGCTCAGTTAGAAATCTCTCTTGCTCAATGAGAACACTTCAAAGAGGGAGCCCAGTGAGACAGTATGCCTTAGGTATCAGTCTCTGCCTGTCCCAGCCTGGCCAGGTTTGGAGACTGGAGCCTAGTCCTGTTCCTGAGTTGATGGAAACCCACAGGTATAGGAAGTTCTACCCCAAGCCAGTCCCTGGGGCCCTCCTAATACCACCACTGTGCTATGGGTTCCTTCCTTGATCTCTAGAACAGAAGCCCCGCGAGGGCAGAACCTTCCTCAATTTTGTTTGCATTTGCGATGCCAGTGCTAGCCTAGTTACCCGATTGAGAGCAATAATAATAACATAACAGCAAATAACAACACAGAGTTTACTCTGTGTTCTGGGTATTGTTCTGAGCACTTTCCTTAAAATAACACACTTGAATCCAAGTGCGGTGGCTCACACCTGTAATCTCAGCACTTTGGGAGGCTGAGGCAGGTGGATCACGAGGTCAGGCATTCGATACCAGCCTGGCCAACACAGTGAAACCCTGTCTCTGCTAAAAATACAAAAGAAAAAAAAATACCCAGGCATGGTGGCAGGCACCTATAATCCCAGCTACTTGGGAGGCTGAGGCAGGAGAATTGCTTGAACCTGGGAGGTGGAAGTTGCAGTGAGCCGAGATTGTGCCACTGCACTCCTGTCAGGTGACAGTGTGAGACTGTCTCAATCAATCAGTTAATACATACATACATACATACATGCATGCATAACTCACTTGAGCTTCATAACAACAGTGTGAGGTAAGCACTACTAGTATCTCTGGCTTACAAATGAGTATATTGAGACACAGAGAGGTTGAGCAACTAGCCCAAGATCACACAGTAATAATGGTAGATTAGGAATTCAAACCACAGCAGTCTGGCTCTGGCTACAGAGTCCTTGCTCTTAACCATTGTGCTATACTGAATAGGGTTCAATATACACTTCTTGAATTAAATGAACAAAAGGGTCCGATGAATGAATGCCTGGTCCCTATGGCTGAGCATGTCTCTAAAACACACATGCTTTATTTAAGTCATCCAAAGTTCCAGAGCTTTATCCTACTCCACACTAGACCCTGCCAGCCTCTCTCTGGAGTGGAGGTTGTGGGGGTAGGTGCCACAAATGACTCTTGTATTCCTAAAAACTAGTTGTTGTCCTATTTCAACCCAGATAGCCTGTCAAAAAATTGTCCCTGGACAGGGAAAATGTGGCATATACACCATGGAATACTATGCAGCCATCCAAAATGATGAGTTCGTGTCCTTTGTAGGGACATGGATGAACCTGGAAACCATCATTCTCAGCAAACTGACACAAGAACAGAAAATCAAACACCGCATGTTCTCACTCATAGGTGGGTATTGAACAATGAGAACACATGGACACAGGGAGGGGAGCATCACACACTGGGGTCTGTTGGGGGGAAATGGGGGAGGGACGGGGGGTGGGGAGGTGGGGAGAGATAGCATGGGGAGAAATGTCAGATATAGGTGATGGGGAGGAAGGCAGCAAATCACACTGTCATGTGTGTACCTATGCAACAGTCTTGCATGTTCTTCACATGTACCCCAAAACCTAAAATGCCATAAAAAAAATTGTCCCTGCTGAGGGGTTCCTATGGCCATGATCTTGTCTACCATCCAGTTAGACCTGGCCACCTAATATCAAGGTCAGCTGAAGTTCCACCAAGTTTGCGTCTGTGGTCACTTGGAACCATAAGGCTGTGGTCACTGTCTGTCTACAGAGACTCTATGGCAGGCTTTCCTACTGAGGCTGCTTGGGTAATGATGATATCTAGGGTGTAGTATTATGGGGTCCAAAACACTTACCTAGTGTGTTTTATTTAACAAGATAGTATTCCCTGGGGACAGTTCTCTGGAAGCATCTACCCATAAGGGGTAGTTAGAAATAGAACCCTAGGAGTGAGCCGCGGGTGGTGGAGGGAACAGAGATGATGTCTTCCATGGTATAGAAGGCACAGTGGCTCCTTTTCCTAGTGGAGTTGATGGGAGAGATGTGATATGACCCAGGCCACATAGTATGGCAGGAAAGGCGTGTGACTTAGGGTTGGGGGCGCGGATTGACGACTCACCTCTCTAACCCACCAGCTGAAAGATGGCATCATTCAGCCTCTCTGGACTTTGCCTTCCCCATCTATAAAATGAGGATTATGTCTATTTCACAAAGTGGCATCGAGCTTCAGGAGTTTTAAAAGTGCTTTTCACTTGAAAACTGTTCCGCAAAGGAATGATGTTAAGAACGACCAAGGCACCGTAGCTATGGTCTTCCTTCAATCTGCTCAACCCCTCTGGGTGCTTATTAAGCTAGAATGCTGTGTGCTCCCCCCACCGACTGAAGTGGAAGTTCTGCGGCTGGGGGGGTGCCTAGGCAGCTGCATTTTAACAAGCTCGTCTGCCCATTCAAATGCACTCAACTGTTTGAGACCCACTTAACCACAGCGAACACCAACACAAAGGAAGTGCTCTGGGTTTGATCAGAGCCTTCGTTTCCTCTGGTTAAGGTCTAGAACCTGAGACCTAAATGAATTTGGCTGACACCATCTCTGTGGCCGGTGGAATTTTGGGGAAGGTGGGTAGGGCCAAGTGGATATCACTGCCACTTCCTGCTGAACACTCGTGAGGGAAGCAGTACAAGTGTGACAGAAACCCAAGCCTCCTCCGGTCTGAGCGGGAAGGCAGAGGGCCACACTCGGGCAGGTGGCACTGGTAAGTTCTGTGGCTTAGCAGCCTTGCCGGACAGCTGCCACCTGTCACCTGCCACCTGTCCCAGTTCTAAGCTGGGCTGCTGAGACTAAACTCATGTTCGTTGCACAGGGCTCCTGCGAGAGCTCCCTTCTGAGTATGGGGGTGAGGGGAGCAGAGGAGTGGGGGGTCTTCAGGCTTGGAAGAGAGGCAGCCTCACGATCTCAAGTCCCCTCAATTCTGAAGTCATCCCATCCCTAGCTGCTTTTGCACGCTTGCCTCGGAACTGCTGAGCAGAGCTCCCTAACAGGAAGCCCTGAGTGCATGGGGTGACTGCAAATGTGACCTTCAGAGCAATACTCCTCTCTTGAGTGTTTCACCCCTGAGACTGCTGGGGAGGGCTAAGTCCAGAAAATGGCAATGCTCTAGCCTGGGTGGGGGGAGATGCCAGATCTTTCTCTTTCATGCCCACTGCTTCCCTCCCCTTCCTGATGGCTCAAACCTCCCAGCTCTGTTGTGTGTTTACCGTGTTTGGCTGGGGAAGTGTATGGAGTAACAGAGGTGGCTCTAGCACTGCCCACGAAGCTGCTTCTTGGGTCTCCCTTGAGATAGCCCCTTCCAGGGCCATAGGCAGGGCTGCCTCTAGGGACAGCTGTCCACCTGAGCTCCCTGGGAGGGCCTCCGGTCATTGGGCCACCCTCTAGTTGCCTGGGTAACTCCCCTCTCACCCCCCGACTCCCACCCAGTGGTTGTGAGCACCCTGCCTTGCTCAGGATAATTAGCAGCCAGTTCAGATTTAAACCCCTTTCTCTACCCATAGTTCTAGAAGGAAAAACACAAACCCCTTGTATTTGCAGAATTCTCTATGTTTTCCAAAGTGCTCTTGTAAGTCATTGGCTCATCACAATGATCACAGCAAGTCAGCAGCCCGCTTCCCATATTACAGAGCAAGACGAAATGCCCAGAGGGGCTGACAGGTCACTGAATTGGTAACCAGCCAAGATCCACACCACATCCAAACTTTGTTTCGCTAGCTCTGAGTTCCTGCTATCTTACAGGGTTAATGCCTTTGTACACTCTTTGCAAAGCCCATTGTCAGGTGTTCTAGGCACAGATTTGTGACTGTTTGAGGCAAGTGTGGACCTCCCCAAACAGCACTGCCAGGCACTTGTGAACAAAAAGATTCAAACATCAAATGAAATTGGTAAATCAGTGTATATGATATAGTGCATATTAGACTACGAACAGCTCCAAAAGCCCTTCAGTGAGAAACAGAATGAATTCAGTTCAACCCAGAGAATCCGAAACTTGTCTGGCAACATAGCCTTTCCCCCCACACAATGGCACAAACAAGCCACCAGATTTGAGGAGCCTCCCTGAAGAGGGTGAGCAAGGCTCCTTCAGAATTATGATGACAAAGACACAAAGATGAGAGGCGGCCACTTGTTTCCATACACAAAGAAAAGCAAATTGCTGCGCCTCTCTCATGCCCCTCGCCCCATCACAGGGAGGAGCTCCAGGACCACCCCTGGCTGGCTCTGCCACCTGCACGCCTCAGAATCCCCTCAGTGCCCCAAATCCAGTGGTGCGCTGAAGCCAATTGTTAACATTTCAGAAACAGTGTGAGTCAGTTTTTAAATCATCAGGAGCTTGAAACTGGCCGTGGTGGGAGTATTTATTTATACCATAAAAATCAGCAAACACTAGAAATCAGAGTTCCTCCACCCTTCCCGAGGGCTGGTTTACCAGTGTATCACTGGCCCTGGGACACTTTTTGAAATTGTTGGAAAACTTGGGAGGGCTCTGACAGCTGAGCGCTGGGGGAGATCGGACACGGAAGTCCTTGCTCCAGCTCTCCTGGGCGACAGGTGGGAACGGCACTGAATGACAGTCTTCCAGCTACAACCCCAAATGAGTCAGAGAGTGCCTCTTGGCCTGCTTACCTTGATATCTGCTACCAGCCAGTGTCTCCAGAATCTCTGTCTGGGTTCTGCTCTGCTAGGAGCATCTGGATCCACCATCACCAGGACATAGGTCGCACCCTGTAACACACGCACCAAAAAGTAATGTAGAGTCATGGCTGAAATAGGAAGATACCACTGGGCAGACCTCCTTTTTCTGCCATTCCAATCGAGAATGGCTGAGTAGCCCTATGACATCCCACCCAGCTTATCCTTGTTCTTGTGACATCCCTGTCACATCATGTTTATTCTCAGAGAAATGGCATCTGTGAAGCAGACAGCAGGACTCTTGGCTTCCCCTTTGTGAGGGCGAATAAATCCAACCAGTTATGTGTACCAAGTACCTGGGAGCTCCGAGTGCTGTGCTGGGTGCCTTGGAGGAATCAAGGAAACCTAAAACAGGACTTTGGTCCTCCAAGAAGCATCCAGTATAGTTGGAGTGATTTGTCTATTAATTTGGCAAATATATGAGGGCTTATTTTGTGTCAAGAACGGTGCCCATCACAAAGAACACCAGGATTCATTCGTCCCTTCAACAAGCCTTTGCTGAACACCTACTATGCACCGGGAGCTGCTCCAGGTGCCAGGAGGCAACAGAGCACAAGACAGTGGGGTCTATACTTTCAGGAAGCTTTTATTCTAGGTAAGAGACACACATCATAAAAATAAATAAATAAGCAAAGGAACGTGTGAGCAGTGCTATGATGAAAATAAAGCAGGGTGGGATGAGAGGGGGAAGTGTTCTGGAAGGAAAAAAAAATAGCTGCTGTGAAGGTCTTCAGGTGGGAAAAAAGTAGGCTTTGAGGAGCAAGAAAGAGCATCATGGTGGCCAGGGACAATCAAGGGGGAGGGTGGACATGGCAGGTGGGGGGGCAGGAGCCAGGCCACAGGGGGCTCTCTAGGCCTGGGTAGGGAGCAGGGTCTTATTCAAAATGCAACACAGAACTGTTACAGGGTTTTAGGCAGGACAGTGATATGCTCTGATTTATGTTTTTAGAGGATTCTTTTGGCCCCTGGGTAAAAAATGAATGATCTGCAAAGGCCAGAGAGGAGGCCAGGAGACCAGTTAGGAGACTCGCAGTAGCATGTGAAAAAATGATGGTATCTCTGGCTCGGATAGCAGCAACAGGGACAGAAACAAATAGATGGGTTAGGGGAGTCTTTTTAGTAAAATCAGCAGGGTTTGCTGATGGATTCAACGGCAGGGCGGTAAGGAGGTGGGTGGAGAAAGAGAAATTGAGGATGAATCCTGGGTTTCTGCCTTGAGCAACTGGGCCATTTAGTGGCACGAATAAGACCTGGAGAGGAGGCTGTGTGAAGGGGGACGTTCAGAGTTCTGGTTTAGACATCTTGAGTTTGAAATGTCTCTCAGAAGACAATCAGGTATGCATGTCAGAGTCTGTAGTTCAGAGGAGAGATCAGGACTGGGTGGATAAATTTGGTAGTCATTGTTATAGAGATGCTCTCTCAATCAGCAGAGCAGGCACAGAGAAGGAAAGAGGCCTTATGGCTGAACTCTAGAGCAGCTAACATTGAGAAGAGGGGAGAATCAGGGAGAGAGGACTTTGGAGCCAAAAAGGTGCAGGAAACACCTGGAGAGCAGGCGTCACAAAAGCCAGGATAGAAAGTGTCTCAAGGAAGAGAAAGTGAGCAGCTGTATCAAATTCTGCTAAAAGTTAGGGCCAGATGAGGACACGGAGATGACAATCTGATTTGATAACTTGGATATCACTGTGATCACAAGACCAGTTTCAGCGGAGTAGAAAGGACTGATGCTTGGTTGGATTAGGCTGAGCTGAGATGGGAGATGAGGAATTGAAGATAGCTATTATGAGGTGATCATAAAAAAGGAAGTTTTGGTGGGAAGGACAGCTGAGACATGGAGCGGCTGTAACTAAACAGGAAAGAAGAGTCAAGAGGTTTTTTTAAAGAGAGGGATGATATTTGTAGACCAATGGAAATGGTCCAGTATAGAAAGGGAGGTAGAGGGGACGGAGAGGAGGAAGGGGATGGTCACAAGAGCTGACTTTGGGAAGTGGGGATGGGACAGGGTCCAGAGTGAAAGTGAAGGGCTACATCTTGGGTGAAGCAGAGGATGTGGGTTCAGATGCAAAAGAACTGGAAGGTGAGGTAGTGGGAAGAATGAGGAAATCATTTTCCGATTGCTTCTATTTTTCAGTGAATTAGAGGCAAGGTCATCAGGCGAAGAGGGATTATAGGAAGTTTGCAGACAGAGAAGAAGGTGTGAGATAGTCATTTAAGGGAGTGAGAAAATGAATATACAATAGGTATGCAGTAGGTCACTAGACGGTATTACGTTTCACAGTTGTGGGCTTTTTAACTGTTCAAGTACAGGTGTGAGACACGTGGTTAGTTGGGCTTACCTTGAATGGGGACTTCGATGTGAGCATGATGGAACGGGGGAAGTGAGAGAGGAAGAAGTAGGTAAGATGAATGGAGTAAATGGAGATGAGTCCTGGCCCTCCCCTTGACAGGGAGAGGCAGGCACACCCTGCTGTTCTAAATGCTTTCTGCTGTTCTAAATGCTTGAGTGGAGGAGCGTTTATCAAGCAGAGGGACAGGGAAAAGGGAGAATAATCTCTCTACCCCAGGAGTCCAGGAAGGCTGCAGAGTTGTCTTTTGAGCTTGACCTCGAAGACTGAGCAGGTAAAGGATCAGGAAAAGTGATCTCCAGGTACAGGCAATGGTGTGTGCAAAGGCAGGGGGGTGTTTGGGGAATGGCTGGGCCATGGGGCATCTGGAAAGAAACAGTAGGTGACAAAGCTGAAATGGGTATTGGGACCAGATAACAGAAAGCTATGCACATCTTATGTTGCTTAGAATTTGTTATGCAACAGGACCCACTGAAATTGTTTGAATATGCAACTCATATCATCAAACGTGTGCTTTGGGGCGGGGCACGGTGGTTCACATCTGTGATACCAACACTTTGGGAGGCTGAGGTGGACTGATCGCTTGAGCCCAGGAGTTCAAGATCCACCTGGGTAACATGGCAAAACCTTGTCTTTACAAAAATTGCAAAAGCTAGCCAGGCATGGTAGCCCACACCTACGATTTCAGCTACCAGGGAGGCTGAAGTGGGAGGATTGCTGGAGCCCAAGGGGCTGCAGTGAGCCATGACTGCACCACTGTACTCCAGCTCAGATGACAGAGTGAGACCCTGTCTCAACAAACAAACAAACAAACAAACAAACAGCAACACATATGCTTTGGAAAGACACGTGATGAGACATGATGAGGGTAGAATAAAGGATGAAAAGCAGAGCAAAAAATCCAAAACCCCCTGAAAATTGCAATACTGTGGAGAAAGACCACAGGAATTTCCATTCAAATAGCAGTAACAGAAAGGAGAGATGTGTGTACTGCAGAACCAACGGTGAGGTGACTGCATAGGGCAGATGTGCGGGAGGAAGAAGCCAGGATGACTCTGAGATTCTGTCTCGGTCAGCTTGGTGATGATGAAGCCATGGATATTAGGGGTGGCAAAGTCAGGGGACCATGAGGCAGTGAGTTTGGTGTCAAACCCTACAGGGAGAGATGCCCTTTAAATGAGGTTGGCGCCCTCTCAAGACTTGGCAAATGGGCAGTGGACATGAAGAGGGACGAATCTATAGATTCATGGGTTGTCTGGGGAGAATCTGTAGAACAAAAACAAAAGACTGTGGTGGAACTTGGGAACTCAAAGCGGGGCAGGGAAGGGAGAAAGAGGCTGAGGGGAAGACAGTTCTGAAGAGAGCCAGAGAGTCAGTGTCACGGATGCCAAGAGAGAAATGAGGGAAGGGGTGAAGGTTGTGTCCGTGTCACAGTCATCAAGGGAGATGAGGGCCGCAAAGAGACTGCTGGTTGTGACAAGGAGGGGAGCATGGACACCTTTCCAAAGATGAGTAGTTTAAAGGTGAAAACACTGACTACTGGATTTTAAGACCCAGAGGAAACCATAAACCACATACTAGATGTCACAGGAAATTAAATCAGAGAATGTGAAGATAAACCCAAGAAAATCTCCAAGGACTCAGAAGAAAAGAAAATAGTAGGTGAAAAGAAGGAATATGTCCTAAAGTGGGGGTGTGTGAAAATCCCAATAGAATGCCATAAAGAGAAAACCGTACATACATCCAAGAAAGTAATAAGAAAATAAAAAGAAACAAAGTGTAAATATGGTAAAAGAAGAACTAAAGCCATATGTCCTTTCTCTTTTCCTTTTTCTTTTTTGCAAATGACATGATTGCTACATGAGAAATTAAAAAAAAATCAACTGGGAACAAAAGTAACATTCGGTAAAGTAAACTGTTACACATTGTACACAAAACTGGTATCTTCTACATATGAATAATAGTCCTAAAGTGTACATTTAAGATCCCATTAACAATGGCAACAAAAAATGTAAAATAAGTAAGAATGAACTGAATGAAAAATGCAAGATTATATGAAGAAAACAAAAACATGATTGATGCGCATAAGAAGGAAACTTGAATAGACAGAAAAAGAAATACAATGCTTTTAAATTGAAATAATCATTTTGCAAAAATGTTAATAAACCTTCAATTAATTTGCTAATCTAGCACAATTCCAAACAAAATCCTAAATAGATGTTTTGTGAATGTCACAGAATAATTCTAAAGGTCAAAATAAATGTAAAAATCAAATAAATAAAAGAAAAATAAGTATCCAAGGCAATACTGAAAATGATAAAATGGGGATGGTATTAATTTTGCAGATTTTAACATGTCTTATTAAGCTACAATAATTAGAATATGGTGTTAATAAATACATAAGTAAAAGAAGCAAAACAGAAAACCCAGAAAGTCAACTTTTCAATAAATGTATATTTAATACATGATAGTTATCATTTAAAATGATATTTAATATATGACAAAGTTATTTCGGATCAGTGGGGAAAAGATAGATTATTTAATAAATGCTACTGAGAAAGCTGGCCCAGTATGTGGAATAAATAAACTGAGGTCCCTATTTCTTTCAGACACCAGAAAACATCCAAATTTAAATATGAAAATGAAAAACAAGCTTTAAATCTGGTTTAATAACATAATATTACATTT